AAAATTTGATATAATATAGTTCAAGATTATGTCATATATATATGAAAATTATAACTAATTCTAATCAGTGAATCTTGTGATATATGATGTTAAATATTAGTATTCAAAAATTTTAATATAATTAAAATATTTATGAATTTACGTTTACATACATATATCAGCTTCTACTGATTCAAATTAAATGAAATTTTAATATATTATATATTGAGATTGTATTAAGATTATATAAATATTTGAACTAATTTTGATCGGTGCATCTTGAGATATACGATGTCAAACTTAGTGTTCAGAAACTTTTGGCTACCCTCTGTATATGAATTATTTATCAAATTCAAGCCTCTAACGTGATTTAACTTAAATTTAGATGATGATATAGAACTTGGCTAGGAATTAGCCTGTCTGATACCAAGAACTATAATGATTGATATAACCATTCTAACCAGATTTTAATCCCAAATAATATATCAAAAAAATTTTATTATTCTATTTGCCTCTGAAGGGGCTATCAAAAATCAAGGAATAAAATGACATGATTTGAGCTGGACCTAACACTGCAAACCCAATATGAATAATTACTTTTATGCTATTCTGCTTGCCTCTGGAAGGGTTATCAAAAATCAAGGAACAAAGTGACATTATTTGAGCTGAATCTGATCATACAAGCCTAAATATGCATATAATATTTCATGATATTCTAAAATAAATTCTAAAGCAGATTCATATTCATCTAACAAGATCATAATTTCAGTATCCACCTCAAAGTGTGTACCAAAATTCTGTATGTATATAATAAAGTTTAAAAGTTATAGATCACATTCCATTATACCAGTAATTTCATAATATATAAGAATCAATTCTAGAACTATTTCTTTCTCATAAACACTAAGTCAAAAAAATGATAATAGGTACCAAAAATTCTGAACAGGATACCAAAATTCTAAACAAAGTACCAAAATTTTGAACAGGATACCAAAATTCCAAACAGGATACCAAAATTTTAATAGATTATTTACTATTCAATAGGGCCTTAAAACACAGTCTGTTATAGTATTAGGAGACATAAAACCCACAAAGTATAATTAATATTTAAAGAAAACTTTTTATAAGTATTATATATCAAGTGTAATACTATAATGGTTAATTATAGTTATGATAGATGTAATAAAATCTTTCCCAAATTATGGAAACTTAAACGTCATCGAGAAAGAAAATATTAATATCGTCAAAATTTATCTGAACCTATTATTAAACCAAAGCCTATTTAAACATCAATACCCAATTCTATTCGAGTAATACATATTTCACGTTCTAGATCCAAATTACTTACTCCAATTGTTCATACTCGAGGAAAGGATTGAAGAAGAGAAAAATCTCAAGTGGTTACCTAAACTTCTAAGACTTCTAATCAAAAGAAGGAATCTAGTGTGATTGAGCGATAAGATTCTCAGAAGGGACCTAGTGTGATTAAACAACATGACACTCACAGGAAAGATGTCCAAGAGAGTAAGAGTATTCAGAAGAAACTTGTGAGGCAATTAAATGATATAGAACTTTTTAAGGAGTTGGGTATGATAGAAGAAATACAAACAGAAATGATAACAAGGCAGATTAAAGGATTAACTATACTTAGTAATTCAGAAAGTCATGCTCTAGAAGGTAATATACATTTTGAGGAAAAAAAGCTGGAGATCTAAATAGATCACATAGAAATCTGCAATCATTAAGAAACTGGAAAGCCTTAGTTCCTAGAATGACAAACCCAGCATATATTTTCAATGATATAGTAAATTGAGCAGATTATGTTAAAGTTCTATATATGCCTCATCTAATAGCATCAGCTCAAGAAGAAAGTATAAGAGTTTATCAAACTGAGCTTAATAGAAAGGATCAGATAAAATCAGTATTAGTCATATACTGTAAATACTATAAAAGGGAAGAGAATAAAATCACCAAAGAAATAACATATACATTTGCTGAGAAATATCATAGAGGAGAGTTACGTCTAATTTTCTCTGAAAATGATATTGTAATAAACTAAAAAGTTATCTTATAGATCACATAGTTTTTATCTTGTTACAAAATCCATCCAATCAGCTAAAATTGGCAGATCCTCAAAATCTATCCAATCAGCTAAAATTGGCAAATCTGTGAAAAATGCCAAATTTACCAAATCTGCCAGATTGACCAAATTTGCCATAAATGTAATATATGTCAGATATACGATAAAAGACCAATTATTACATTTCTTATTTTTATTTATATTTTTATTATTATTATTTTATTTCTTATAAATAGGATAGCTTTAGAACTTTAATAACATAGAAACTTTTAAGTAGAGAATTTACTTAGTTTTATCGTTAATAAGATAATTACTAAAACACTTGTATACAAATAAATACATTTGTAATAATTCTTTTCTTTAATAAAACTCTAAATTACTTAATCCATAAATCATATCTTAATATTTAAAATATATATATTGATTGTATAAACCTTCAGAAGCTCTCCATAAATCTTGCATTGTAAAGTCTTAAAGCTAAATCCTTTATTAATCTTGCGTTAATACTAATTTTCAGTCATTAGTATCGTAAGATAACAATATAGATGAACATATATCTCATTCTGGTTTAGAAATAGATAAGAAAATTGATAAGTTTCTTAGTAATGAATCTGCTTGGATACTTATTCGAATTGATAAGATATTTATTGAGGCATATACTGCATATACTTATCGATGAACAATAGGAGAATCTTATATTCATATCCCAAAGAAGCTCGCTAATACAAAGTACACTATCAATCCAAATAATTATATGCTTATAGATCCAGAAACAAATAAACCTTCTGAAAAGTGTCTTCAAGATGCATTGGGTAAATACTTTGCTCATCAGAATGGAAATACAGAATATCTTAAACGAATTTTTAGAATTAAGAAGCTTAAATCCTACTTAGATGTTATCAAGCTAGATGGAATTTCAATGCTTACTCCCATCTGCCTACATATATTTAATAAGATTAAGGAAATGAATCCAGATATCTCCATTAGTGTCTGTGAGTGGAATAAAGAATCAGCTACTGTAATAGCCAGTAAGAATTTTAAGAGACAACATAAAATTTATCTATTGGCTCTTACAGATATTACTAAAGATGATGAGACAGGTAAGTATAGGTAAAGGAACCATTTTCTCTGGATTAAAAAATTCCAGTAGATTAATTTATGAGAATACTGCATATAAAGAAAAGAAGTATCTATGTGATGGATGTATTATAAGCTGGCATTCTGAAAAATCTCTAGAATATCATTTAGAATGGTGTTTAGGAATATATGAAAATACTCTTCAGAGAGTTACAATGCCTGTGAAAGGAATAAATAATTTCGAGAAGTTTAATAACTATGGCCGAATGATCAATGCTCTATATGTTATTATAGCTGATTTCAAGACTGGCAATAAGAAGTGTAATGAAGCATATGGTGGAAGCATGTATAAGCTGAATAGAAGGCTAATAGTTTCTGCTACCTAGTCCACTGGATTGATACTAGAGATATATTAGATCCGTTCCTATACTGAAGAGAAAATGCTATACAAGAGTTTGTTTATATCAATGAAGTCTTAGCTATCAAATATGAGTGAATTGAGACTGAAGAAGACAAGAAAAATTTTACAGAGGCAGTTAACTGTTAGATCTGCAAAAGTAAGTTTGATATAGATATAGATAAAATTAAATGCCTAGAGAACAAAATAACCAGTCTTAAAGAAAAGTTAGAAAAGTTTAAAAGGGTTCAGCTGAATATAATAATATCAAAACAACTATTGATAAAGCGATTAAGGCAATTGCTAGCAAAAAAGCTAAAGCTAATAAGGTTTGGGATCACTATCATATTACAGGTAAGTTTTGTAGATCAGCCTATAGGGATTGCAATCTCAAACTTCAGATACAAGATTAGAAGACCCCAATTCCAGTCATATTCTATAACTTCTGAGGCTATGACTCTCACTTGGTTTGTAAGTCAGTTGGGTGATCAGCTAATGCTCTTCATATTCAAGTTATAACTAAAATATTTGAGCGATATAAGTTTATGAAGGTAGATCAGCTCAAGTATATTGATAGCATGCAGTTCATGAATAATAGCTTGGCCAATCTTACTAAGAATTTGGGTAATGACTATCCTATCACAAGTCAGCACTTCAAAGACTTCTCTTCCAAACAAATTTCTCTAATATGTTATAAGAGAGTTTATCACTATGAATATATTGATTCTCATGATAGGTTCCAAGAGACAGAACTTCTACCAATTCATGAATTCTATAGTTCTTTAGATAATGTAATTACACAAAGAGATTACCAATATGTCCAGAATGTATGGAAGGAATTCAAATGCTAAAATTTAGGTGAGTATCATGATCTCTATCTTAAGACTGATATACTTAGTCTAGCAGATATCTGGACCAAGTTCTGAGAGACATGTATGCAATATTATGAACTCGATCCCAATCATTATGTTTTTGCCACATTCTTATCCTGGGATGCTATGCTTAAGATAACAGGAGTTAAGATCAAGCTATTTACAGAAATGGCTATGCATGATTTCATCAATATCTATGGCCTATAAACAATATTTCAAGGCTAATAACCCTAAGATGGATAAGGCATTGGATTCCTCCAAACACACATTATGGATCTCATATTTTGATACAAATAATCTTTATAGCTAGGTTATGAGTCAATTTCTACCTATTGGAAACTATCAATGGGAAGCAAGTCGGAAATATCTACTTATGAATCCAGATAAACAAAAACAGTTTCTTAATAAGATTCTTAAGACTAAGGCAAATGCATCATGTGGGTATTTCTTAAATATTAAGGTCCACTTTCCTTTAAAGACTCATGACTATTTGAAAAACTTGTTTTCAGCTATAAAAAATATTGCAGTAGAAAAGGATTGGCTAAGTTCTTATAATGCGGAACTTGTGAAATAATTAGATGGTGAATGCTTTTCTGCAACAGAAAAGTTAATCCCATATCTTGGTTCATGAAAGGATTATGTTATCCATTATCAAGAGCTCTAATACTATGTAAAATTAGACATGGTGGTGGATGAAGTTCATGAAATCCTTTCATTCAACCAGACTAACTGGCTTGCATTATATATTGTATTTAATACTGAGAAACATCAAGAAGCTAAGAATGTCTTTGAAAAAGACTTCTTCAAGTTCATGAATAACTTAGTATATAGCAAGACTATGGAAAATTTTCGCAAATATCAGAATGTCAAGATTATAAAGAATAATAATAATAAGCAAGATGAAAAGGCTTTCTTGAATAAGGTTTATATATTTTCCTTCAAGTATGCTAAATTGCTTAGGCCTACATTAATAGGAACACATATGGGAAAGGCTTGCGTAACTCTCAATAAGCCCATCATTGTTAATGCATCAGTCTTAGGTCTCAGTAAGCTTTACATGTATCACTTTTGGTATAACTATATAAAGGAGCAATATGGTGATAAAGTCCAGCTTGGATATATGAATACAGACTCTTTTATCTTCCAAGTCGAAACAGAAGACATTTATAAAGATATGGTTAAACAACTTAACCTATTTAACCTTAATGATTTGAAGACTATTGGCTTTTTAAAGATAAAACTCCTGGTAATATAATTACAGAATCTATGTACATCTGAGCCAAACTATAGCACTATGTCTTGGTAAATAAGAGCACAATATCTAAGTATAAGGGATTAGTAATAAGGGTATAGGCAAAATAGCTACTGACATATATTTTTCATCATTAGAAGGCTCTTTATTAGATGATCCGGTAGATAGGTTATTAATATTAGAACAAGAGGCTAGAGACTTGGCTATGCGAACTGAGGCAGATCCTATGACCTTAGTATATCAGGACTGCCTCTTTGGAAAGGAAGTATTCCATACTAAGAATGTAGGTATTTGATCAAAGGATCACATATTATCTCTGGTTGAATCTAAGAAGAAAACACTTTGCTCCATAGATACTATGCGTTAGATATTATCAGATGGGATAACTATGGACATTGGCATAATATGATTTATAAGAATATGATCAAGCATGGCATAGCTGAAGAAGAGGTTGAAAAAAGAGCTATAAGGGCCAAGCTTTCAGAGAAATATCAAAATAAATGTACGTCTCACATATCTAGCTATTCCTAATAAGCTACTAGTAAAAGAGTATTCTATATCTCCTATAGTCTTGACCGATTGAGTGTTATTATTATGTATTTTTTTTCTTGTATAATAAATATTTGATTATAGAATACTTCTCTATAATAGAAAGCAAATAAGAGCAATTAACTAATAGCACATATAGCGAGTATGAGGATCAACAGTTATAGGTTAATCTATATTTGGCTAAGAGCAAACATACCTTCGTAACTAGTTATTATTTATTATTTAAATTTATTTGTTTTACATTATTTCAAACTTATTATATACTGAATTTGAATATATTACTATATAATGAATAAATTGATAAAATTTGATATAGACATTATTGAATTTTCTCATATAACGAATTTTGACCTCCAAAAATGGAGATTCATTATAGTGAAGTTCAACTGTATTAGCAAATATGATCTGTTAATTTAAAAATATACCGGTTAAGCTTAAAATTATTTATTATTATTTTGATAATTTTTATTTTCTAGTTAAAGACACTTTTTTTATTTAGCCTGGTTTATTATAGACCCTGTGGTGCTATTGTAATTGCCGAAACTTAAAGAAAGCTAATTATTGATACAAAGATTTTAACACAGTCTTTATTATTACCACAAAAACCAATGGATTATTTGCAAGAGGTCCTGATTTCTGAAGTGACAGTTAGATTGATTTAAGAAGATTTTCACTTGAATACACATGTGAAATTATGCTACAAAGTGTAAATTTTAGGAAATACGTTCATGAATAGGAATTTGTTGCCTTTAGATAATGAGACATATTTTCAATTATTAATAAAGATATAAATTTGTTTATGTTATAAAGTTTTTATTTATAAAATAGAAAATTTATATATAAAATGACAAAAAAAAAATGTACATTATAACCTTAAAAATTGTGTGTACATTAATATCTTACACATCAAGGATGCGTATAATTATATCATATTCATGATGCGTATGTTATTGATACTCATACAGATTTATTTGGGGAAGAGTTCAACGAAGTGGGTTTTTATGAATGTTGTCTTTTTGATTTCATTTTATTTGACTCATTAAAATCTCTTGTTGAACTTCATATAAATTAATTGCAACAATAGAATTATACAATGCTGCTCGAAGGTATATATACAATTGCAGCAATTGGTGGATCATAAAATATGTCACTAACAGAAATATTAATGATGTAGTTTGGGTCATTCATGGCATTACAGTCAGCTATGCCAATAGGAGAAACGTTTTTATGAACAGTTCCGAAATGCCACTATCATATAAAAACATAGACTTTGAGCATCACAAGGAGTAAAAAGTAGGAATTTTCTTTCTTTTACCTTCTGCTTTGCGACTCCTTATCACCAAAGTGTAGCCTAATATTTAATAATTTAAATGTAAAATTATATAATAATTAGAATAATTAAACAAAAAGACATATCTTTATCACTCTATCACTATCTCCTGCTACTTGGTGTGTAGCGAATACATCATAGAGTTTTATATCTAGTACAGATCATACATATGACTGTCGTTTCCAAAGTTTACACTTGACCCTCAACTAAGGTTGCTTGTCTAAACTCATTTTGGATTTGGCAAAACGGTAAAACCTTTAGTTTTGCTAAATTTTTA